TGCTCAAAGAGACTTTAAAATTGGAACTGTTAACACGGTGGAGCTTGGCACGCTATCCAAACATACCACACGACATATCTGAATGGTCAGTTGTTATTTTTGATACACTACGGGAGAGCTTAAGAGACTACATGTCATATATTCAGTTCTCGGCCATATCAAGGAATGATTACTACGAAAAGATTTTACTTTACAAAGAACTTGTTCCCGAGACCATCAATGATCGTACTCTGGCATATTACATATCGGAAGAATGCAGTGGTACGGAAAATCTAGCCAAGCGATCAAAGGTCATTCTGAATGATTCTTACATTCTTAATCATACGTATGCTTTAAAAATACTTAATTGGATTGAGGGCAAAGAGACAAGGAGGGCAAGCTTGACAAGCTCGTCTAGTTTAAAAGGATGGAGATTTGGAAAGCAGCACACGTTCAGATTGCTTTATCGAGCAGGCCGAGATGGGAATTCACATCAGTCGTACCATGCCTTGTGCGATAACAGGGGACCCATCGTGATAGTGGGACGTATTGCCGATACGCATACTATAGTAGGTGGATACAATCCCGTCGATGCGTCGTCTCACGCTTCTCGTACCCGTGCCCTGGGAGACAAATCGCCCCTACAAACCGTTGGATTCAGCAGAAAGCCCTTTATATTCTCTTTCGGCGCCGGTGATGATCCTACTGAGGCAATAGTGGGCAGGATGATGATGGGCGAGACTTTAAACAAGAAGATAGAAGATCCATGCTTTGGATGCGATGATCTGAAATTCGAGTTGAGTAGCATGAAAGGCATATGTACGAGGAACGTTTACAACGAAAACATTGTGAAAGAAAATGAATTTGTGATGGATGAATGTGAGGTGTTTCAGGTTATCAGTGGATGAAAACGCAGATAGATTAGGCAAAAATGGACATTTATTTTTGAACGAAGACGCGAAAATTGGTCGGGACGGGTGTCGGACGATTGAAGGTGAACGTGGATTTTCCTAACGAGTCACATATAGTTTAAACATTGTAAAAATATATTGAATTGTAAATAAAAATGTTACGGCAAAGCAAAGCAATGATTATTTCAAATTCTTTAGTCTTTCGCACAATCGGGCATCTTTCAAGATGGAATTGTTTTTTCTCATTATGTAAGCTCTATTATGTTGTGCTGCGGCATATAAGTCTTGCGTTTCACAAATTTAAAATATTACCGGGTCGACACTTTGTCTGTGTGTCCATATTCGAGAGCATAAAGATAGCAGTATTTTCTCCATACCAAAAACGTCTAAACAATAAGGAGACAATCCCACCCCTTCCCCTTACTTTCCCCGGAAGTTCAACGTGTCATTAGAACATTTATTGTCTTTCATCTTGCGCAAGTTCTAACAGGTTCCTCATTCTGTAGTACCTGAATTAAATAGGTTTTATACGTGCCAAATATATCGACATGCGATCACGAATACCGGTATGCGAAACTTTAATCACAATTAATTTCTCAAAATTAATTCCGTAAATTTTTCATAGTCATCACCATATCAAAGACAAGAGCGTTAATGTTTGCTATGGGTTGGTTTGTGCGTAAAATTCATTCTAATTATTAATAAAGCTATAAATCTCCTTGATTGTTTCCAGTAGTTTTTTTAGTACTAAAGCCACATGCAGTGCATTTGTTGATTTCGTATACTTGATACCGGAACGCTTTGTTAAGTGTCTCAAATGTACAGACCTATGATTATTGTGTGAAAATCACGTAAACGTGCCTTGATAATCATGGCGTAGAAAAATCTATCACTTACACTATGCTGTACCCAAAATCTCCTGAGGGGGACATATAATAATAACCATCATTATTTCACTGTCTTTGGTAACATGTTTGTGATAGCAATTGTTTATATTCACAATATAACTATACATTGAGTCAATACACGTATGTGCACTACAGATTTATTTTCTATTAGTAATTACATATTAACATACAATCATTTTGGGGAGATCTATTATTATCGAATACACCCATCAATTGCTTTGGCTAGACTCGCAGCATCAGGTTTTTCAGCGACAGCATTTACCCTTATCTGCACCCGTCCTTGTAAATGATGAGCTGTTGTAGGTCCAATGGTTGCCAGTTTAGCATTGGGTATCACCTTCCATTTACGCAAGCACTCAATTGTTATATCCACCCCAGATGGACTGAAAAATACAACCCAATCGAACGGTCTGCCGTTATCCAAGGCATCTTTCAGCAGAGCCTCGAATTGTTCATTGGGTCGAGTTTCATAAACTAACAACTCATCAACGCCTATTCCTTCCCGTAACATTCGTTTTGGTATTGCGTCTCTTCGTTTGTCACCGACGAGAAATAACAATTTTGTCGACTGATTCTCCAAGTCGAGCTTGTTTTGAGCATAATATGATACGATATAGTCAGCCAAGAGGTCCGCATTGCCTGAATGCTCGGCTCCAACTGGTGTAAAATTGAGTTCGGATACTGCCCTTGCGGTTGCTTTACCGACTACAAAAAACGGAATATTTTTCCATCGCATAATCGTGTCCGCGGTAAGTTCTAGTCGGAAAAGTTTTCAGGCAAAAATTGCCACACGAAATGGTTTGTGAAAAATGGGATGTAATTTAACGACAACCCGATATAACGGGATTCGTATTTATTTTCACGGGTTGGGACATTTATATAGTTACCAGATACGACCTCATTCCAAGCTGTCCTCAGTGCCTCGACCGCTCGTTGACTAGTCACTATCGCTCCCCAATATTTTGATTTTGATCCTTCTTTGAGTAAATCTGATAATCGAGGTATGTTGAGCAAAGCGTGTTCCAGCACTGGAACAAAGACTGATGAACAGTTTATCATTGATAACTCTTTTTCATATGGATCCATATAAGCTGTGTTGTTTGGGTTATCATTTCGGGATTTATCCTTTAGAAGAAGAATACTCTGCATTTTTTTGTAAAATGAAAAAGCATATGTGTAATACTAACACTAATTTGATGAATAAGGCACGTGACATTAGAACGTCTGATGAATGTCTCGGTTCTTGGCCAGCAAACTGACGATCGATATAGAGAGACTTTCCCGTGGAACAGTTGCAGGTCACTAAGAATTTTATTTTATCAAGCGAGTGGGTTTTGAGACGTATAGCCAACTATTGTTTTACGTGTATTATATAATACAGTAATCACAGATTTTCAGATAAAATCGAAAATATTCCATGAAGCAATACGCCACCAGTTCAATTAGAGCTTTATAATGTAAGCGCACATTCATACATTGTGACGGTTCTGGCTTCAGGTTCGACAATCTTTACTGTAGTTGACATGGAACAAATAATTGTAAAGTATCATTTCAAAAGTATTAATAACTTTCGTGATTTAAATTATATCAGGTCACCGATCAAGAAATGACTGAAAATACAATTGGAACGTTGATGCAATGCGTCATAAAAGGTGTGTCGATATCTGCTTCCAATTTTGTCTGACGTTTGGAATACGCTATGTCGTATTAGTAGAGTTGCTTATAGAGTTTAACAAGATATTAACTATTTGTAATACAGTAATAAACGTTCTATTATTGTTACTTTTAGTTTGATCCAATAATCAGCAGTCACAGGATTTGTGCTATGGAACTTGTTCTCCAGATTTCTACTTACACAGTGAAACTCGATAAGTCGGACACTCGATAAGTCGGATTTGGCTTAAGTCGGACGAAATCTCTCAGCCCCTT